AATGTACCCGAGTTCTTGAATATACTCAGCTGACCGAGGCCGTTGGGCCGACAGTCCTTAGGACGGTAAATAAGTTATTTATTTTTTTCCCTTTCCTTTTCGACTTGTTGAGCAATATGTTATCACATGTATGCGTGTGGATGACATCAGGATACCGGACTGCGGGCAGAAAATACCGCCCGCTCWAAGAGCCAATCAGAACGCACGAKTTTGAGAATACCGGAGTGGAAAAAAATAGACTGAGTTAAAGGTAAAGACAAATGTACASCGAATTGAAATRTGGCGACCAATATGAATACCTGKACTGMMATGGACTGAAATGGCGAAGAAAGTACTAGCTTAAAAGCATTCCGYCCTAAAACACCAGTCTATCATTTTCCTTAAAATGAGTTGCTCATTCCATACCTGTCTTGGGATTATGTTCATGYCTCCACTGTTTTTAAACTTTGCGACTCTGTATGACTGGCCAGAATAGCAGCAATCGAAGATAACTGTTAACCTAACATGCTTTTCGGCAAGCTGCTCCAAAAACGGCAGTAAGTCACTTCCTGTTATGCAAGTGTCTTTTTCATTGTGTTTCAACTACAAATAGAATGAAGCGATCCTTGAGAACTCAGGGGCGGATCAAGGATTTTGTTCAGGGAGGAATGCTGCGCACAATGTTAACCCAGTGAGGGGTGCACCCCTTACGATCAAAGACAAAAAACAAAATTGGTTATCTTCGAAGTAGGAGCACAAAGTTTAACCAGGGAGGGATGTGCACCCCCTGCACCCCTGGATCCCCTGGATCCGCCCTTGGAACTGCTTTCAGAGAGATTAACGGATACACTACCACCGATTAGCATGTCACAGACCACTTAATCCACGTAAGGAATGGAAATCTATATCCACCATATGTTTAACCTTATATAATAAATTAAAAAGTTCTGAAATTTCTATCCTAGTAAGGGTTTTGYGATTAAAAAACACAATATAATTTTTGCTACCGTGGGAGATTTCATCAAATTTCTATTCTAAAAATATGTTTTTCTGACTGGAGATTTCCTTTTTCCTGGAGATTTCCGTAGTCTAATTCCCACACCTCGACTTTTCTACCAAAAAAGTTGGAAACTTTTACTGTACTGTACAATACCTTTTTCTGTCCCAAATACTTTCATCAGTATCGTATCGCTGTACGGGGGTTAATCCAAAATTTGGTGTTTCTGTCCTGCTATAGGTTTTCTATCGTCAAAATTGTAATGAAACCTTTCTACAAGCTTCATTCGTTGGTTCAGTTTTATCCCAGAATTTTCGTGTACCGGTGTTTCATGGAACTTCACTGCGCATAGAGGCTTTGCACCATCACGTGCCACCGCCTAGAATACAGCTTGGACTGCATGTGGTTAGATGGCAGACCCGAAAGTCACCTTGCCCTTGGGCATTGAATTATTTCTCATGTAAAACGATTGTATTGTTTCTGCCATCTAACATGACTGCCGTCGGTCACATGATGGTGCAAAGCCTCTATTATTGAAGTTACGYATTCAGTACTTTACTATTGGTATTTCTGTGTGAATATCTTGACATTGAAATGAGGTTAAAACAAATGGGTCGGTCACAAGAAACACATGCAGCGGTATTTAATAATATGAAAGTATATTATTTCATCATGGCCTACAGACAAGTTGCATT